TTTGCTTATTTTGTCTCTTGCTGTTTGTGTCTTTGTTGGTTATTATGTTAGATAATCCATTGTTGAAAGCTAAGCCTGACAGTGTTGCCCCTGCTTGTTATTGTTCTAAGAATTTTGTAGTTTTAGTTTACACATTTAGGTTCTTAACCATTTTGAATTTGCTTTTTTGTGTAGTGTGAGCCACAGATTCTAATTCCTTTGGAATATATCCATTTTTCTCCCAGCACCATTTATTGAAAATACTCTTCTGTCCCCATCAAATGGACTTAGAATCTTTGTTAAAAACTGTTGTTGTTGTTGTTAAGTGCCGTTGAGTTGGATCCGACCCATAGCGACCCTGAACAGGGTTTTCGAGGCTGTAAATCTTCACGGGAGCAGAACGCCTCATCTTTCTCCCGCGGAGCTGCTGGTAGTTTCGAACTGTTGGCCTTAAGCTTCGCAGCACGATTCATAGCCACTACGCTACCAGAGCTCCTTTCGACCATAAATGTGTGGGCTTATTTCTGGACTCACAACTTTATTCCTTTGGTTTATGTGTTTATTGTTATACTAGTACAGGCTGTTTTGATTACTGCAGCTGGTGTGACACTGTTGGATAAGAAATAGACTGCTGAACACAAGGCTGGAGGTTCAAATCCACCAACCACTTCTTGGAAACCCTATATAGGGTCACTATGAGTCGGAACCGACTTGATAGCACTTAACAACAACAACACAGTATGTTTTAAAATCAGGAAGTGTGATTCCTCCTACTTTGTTTTCTTTTAGCATAGTTTTAGCTATTTGGGACCTCTTGCCTTTCCCTATGAAGTTGAGGATTGATTGTTTTATGTCTGTTAAGAAGGTTATTGGAATTTTGAATATATAGATCGCATTGGATAGTATCGACATCTTAACAATATTAAGTACTCCAATCCATTAACAGAAACAACATTTCATTTAAGTCTTTAATCCTTTTCAGTAGTATTTTGTAGTATTCATTGCATAAGTTCTTCACATCCCTGATTATATTTACTACTAGGTATTTTTTTAAAATGTTATTGCAAATGGAATTTGTGATTAATTTTTCTTTCAGATTTCTCATTGCTGATACATATAAACCCAATTTATTGATGTTTGCTGACCTTGTATTCTGCAATTTTGCTCAATTTCTCTATTAGCCTTACAAGTTAAATCATGTTTTCTTCATTTTTCTTAAATTTTCTAATATGGTGAAGATCTGGTTACTTTGGGAAAGCAAAATAAAACTACAGGTAGAGCTACCAGATTTAGCAAATAAAAATATGTAGCATGCCCACTTAAATTAGAATTTCATATAAACAATGCATCATTTGTTAGTATAAGTCATATGCAATTTTGGATAGAACATACATATTCTACTGGGGAATTTTCATTCCTACTCCTTGGGGATTAGGACAGGAGTTAAGAAGAAGATGTGCTGTGAAGGACCCTCAGTAGTGCCCACTCAGCTCCAGGATACTCCTGAGAAGTAGCCAAAGTGAAATGGTCATTTGGTGGTCAGAAGCCCCATGGTGCAGGACAGCGAGAGCCCTGACTCATCAGGGTTAAACTGCATCCGCCATCCTTCTCCAGCATTGGGCTGCTAGTTCTTTGCCTTTCTAAGATGTTCAAGGGACAGCAGACACACAGGACCTCAGCACAGCACCCCACCCTGCCATGCCCCCTCAGTGAGAGCAGAGACAAATCCCCACATTGGGCCCATGGAGGTGAGGACCGTGCCATCAGCTAACACTTACAATGTCCCAGAGGAAGTTGGCCAGCCAGTAGGTGATTGGGCTCACCCCACTGAAAAACTGGAGGTGCTTGGCTTTGTCCACCCTTTCCTGGATCAGATAAAGGACAAAGCTGGCTGGAACAAAGGACATGGCAAAAATCACACAGATGGCAATCACAGCATCCACCGAAGTGGTCAGCCTGCAGCAAAATCGGAAGACACAGGGAGCAAGAGGTGAGGAAGGAGAAGCAGAAGTAGAACATCCAGAGCTGGTCAAGTCATCACCAAACCCTAGATAATGACCCCAGACTCCCCTTCCTGATGATCTGAAGAATATCACTCCACTAGTTGAATCAGGGTTAAGGGTAAGTGGATACTTATGGGTTGCCTTCCTGTTTAGTATTTCTAGAAACCTTTCTTTTCATTATGTTTTCTAATTATTTGTCAAATATATATATTTTTAGATTAACCTGATATATTACAATGCTCTTTTTAGTTCTAATAATTTCTCTTGACTTTTCCATGTAGACAGCTGTATAATCTGTAAATATATTTCTTTTGTTTAAGTGAATAACTTATCTTACTAAGTTACACCTTTTAGAAATACATCATAACATGGAAAAATATTCTTAATGTCAATTTAAGTGAAAATAATGGTTAATAATTACTTTCAAACAAAGATAAGAAAGTAAAGGGGCTGGAAAAAAAGATGCATGGAAATGCAACAACCAGACAGAAATATTGAGACTGTTCCATCCATTGTGAAGATGTGAAATTCCATCCACTGACTAATTTGAATGGGAATCTAATCTTCTGTGTAACTCTTCGCCACAACCACAATAGAATCTTATTAAACAAACAACTTAAGGGAAAAAAGGAAAGGCAGGTTAGAGAGCAGATTGACTTTATTTGCCTTTTGCTGGATCAAATATAGGACAGTTGTCTAAAGGGATAAGTGGAGACAGAAATCTAACATATCAGCACTCACCTAGAGAAAGAAGCACCTTTGACTAATTCCCACACAGGGGCCGTATGTGCTAGCAACTGTGCTCATAAAACAAGCAACGGTAGACTCCACACACATGGAAAGCATAAACAAATGATGAAAGGACATGGAAAATTTTAGCTTCCGGAAATACTCTGAACCATGTTGGATTGTAGATGGTGGTGGTGGTGGTTGTGGAGTTGGTTCTGACCCCTAGTGACTCTGCATAGGGTTTCCAGGGCTGTACATTTTTACAGGAGCAGAAAGCCTCATCGAAGGTTGACTGGTAGATTCAAACTGCTGACCTTGCAGTTAGTAGCCCAACTCTTAACCCACTATCCTACCAGAGTTTCTTAGATTATAGATAGTAAATTCTACTCTATTTTATAAACTTTGCTTAATGAACATTCACAATTTCATAATCACAAGATCATATTTCAAATTAAAAAATAAAATAGGCAGGAACTTGGGCTGAGTCAGAATGACACTAGGAATAGACTATTTTTCTCTGGTCTGGAGACTACAGGGTGTCCAGAGAAGGTACCAAAGGGCCAGGATCCAAGTTTTTTTTTAAATTTATTAAATGTTTTTATTTTGGATTGAGTGAAAGTTTACAGGGCACATTATCAGCTTCACATTCAACCATTTATATAGCTTGTTTTATTACATTGATTATTATCCCCTCCATATATCATCAGTTAACAGTGTTTCTCTCTATCCTCTTTAGCTTTTTTTTT